TGTACTGTTTCATAAACATTCTTTGTTTGCATCTTTTCCCTGTCCATGCATACTTTCTACTTTTATTGGATTTTTCATACCCCTCTTTGCTCCCTAATTCAATGCCTTAGATATACTGAAGTTTTAAATACATTTTTAGCAAAATTTAGTAATGGGTAATAATGATCCTTCTCCTGTGCCTCACATACTAGCTTTGATTCCTTGTTGCTTTACCTCCTCGTTGAGTAGTTATGGACAGCTCGCCTCACCTCTGGGCTTCAGTTTCTGTCAGATGGTGATGACAGCACCATTCTCACAGCATTCATGGAGTCTCTAATGTTGTCAGTATTTAATATTTCCAGCTCTCCTCTTGCCTGGATCGTGGTAGGATTGTATTTCTGCTTTCACGTGGTTGGGTGGTCATGTGACCACACAATGAGTAGTGAGAGGAAATGACATGTGCAGTTTCTAAGGAAGAACATTTAGTTCCCATCAGAAGACCCTCCAAGAGTCTTCCTCCATGATTGACAATTTACCAACTGTGAGCACTTCATCAGTCTATCGTAGAAGGACAACAGCCATTGGAATGAGTGGGGTAGTAACAGGTCAGGCATGTGACTGACACTCTATAATGGTCACTTTTATTAACTACTATAACCACTTCAAAGCACTGTACATAATTCAAATGACACAAGACTCTTAAGCTCTCTGTGTTAGTTTTTCATTGCTGTAACAAATACCTGAGAAAACATCTTAAAGGGGGGTGAGATTTATTTTGGCTCATGACTTCAGTCCACCATGGCAGGGAGGGCGTGGCAACTCAGTGCAGCTCACATATGGTGTCCAGAAAGCAGAGAGGGAGAGAGAGAGAGAGAAAGAGAGAGAGAGACTGTGTTAATGATGGGCTTTCTCCTTTTCCCCCCTTCTATTCCATCCAGTGCCCCAACCAATGAATGTACCACCTAAATTCAGGGGCAAATCTTTCCTCTCTGGAAATGTCTTCAAAGACACCCTGAGAAGTGTGCTTTATAGTCTAAGAGCTTCTCAATCCAAACAAGCTGACAATCAGGATTAACCATTACAGTTTTGTTAAATTAAAAAAAATCTAGCTGGGCACCAGTGTTCATGCCAGTAATCCTAGCTACTCAGGAGACGAGATCAGGAAGACCGAGGTTTAAAGCCCGCCCAGGCAAATAGTTTTAGAGACACTATCTAGAAAATACCCAACACGAAAAGGGCTGGCAGAGTGGCTCAAGTACCACTACATTTTTTTTTAATTTAGCAGAGCTATAGACCTTGAATTTTTCTATCCTGTGAAAGAAGAGAATCTGACAACAATCCCTCTGATTCTGATTAAACAATCTCACACATGTAGGAAACTTCTTTAAGGAATTCAGGAATGTCAATTGTAGCGTTTTTTTTTTTTTTTGGTGTACTAGGTTTTAACTCAGGGCCTCATACTTGCAAGGCAGGTGCTCTACTACTTGAGCCACTCGGCCAGTGAATTTTAGTATTTTAACCACAGAATTGACGTTATCTATTATTGCATAACAAATTATCCAAAACTCAGCAGTTTGAAATAACAATCATTTAGAGTCCCACAAACTTTTTTGTTCTTTGCAGTACTAGGGTTTGAACTCAGGGCCAACATCTTGGCCACTGTGCCAGCCCTTTTTTTGTGATGGGTTTTTTTGAGATAGGATCTCTTAAACTATTTTCCTGGGCTAGCTTTGAACCTCAATTCTCCTGATCTCTGCCTCCTGAGTAGTTAGGACTACAGGCCTGAGCCACCAGTGCCCTGCTCACCAGCACTTTCTGTGTGTGTGTGTGTGTGTGTGTGTGTGTGTGTGTGTGTGTGTGTGTGGTGGGTATTTTGAGATAGGGTCTCATGAACCATTTTCTGGCCTGGCTTAATCTCTGCCTTCTGAGTAGGTAGGATTACAGGCATGAGCCACCGGTGCCCAGCATCATGTACTATCTAAAGGTAAAGAATATGATTGCTGCTGTAGTTGGGTGGGGGGTTTTTTTGGTATGTTTGTTTTGTTTTGTTTTGTCTGCTTAGGTGCTCAGGATGAAAGTGCTCCCCCACTAAGCTACACCTCCAGCCCCAACTGGATGGTTGTGACTGACTCTCAGGGAGTTGCAGTCAAACCACTGGGAAGGCCTGCAGTCATCTCAAGGTTCCACTGGGACTGGAAGATTTGCTTCTGAGATGACTCTTGGTTACAGAGAGGCCTTGCGAGGTCCATTTCCTTGCTACCTAAGCCCTCCATAAGTTCTCAGTGTTCTTATCGCATGGCAACTAACTTTTCCCAGAGTAAGTTATTTGAGTTGTGAGGGAGTCAAGACAGAAGTCAAGGTATCTTTTACAATCTAATCTCACAAGTGACATGCCTTCATTTTGGTATTAATCTCACAGACCAGTCTACATGTAGTAGGAGGCAAGAGTCATTGGATACATTTGGAGGTCAGTTACCCTACTGCTATAACTATCAGTTGATATCAGATTCTTTTTTTTGATGGTGGGGGCCTTGTCTCCCTTTGTAGTCCATAGAACTGGCTGGCCTTGAACTCATGATCCTCCTGCCTTTGCTTCCTGAGTTCTGGGATTACAATGTATGACACCATGAACAACTAGAATTTATAATTTTTATTTTTAAAAAAACACTTGTATTAGCATAGAGTAGTTGTACTGGGACTTTCATTGTGATAGTTACATAAATGCTTACAGTGTACCTTGACCAGCTTACCCCCTCCATCATTCCCTCTCCTGAGTTCAACCAGTTTCATTATTTTACTTTCATGCAAGTATACAAAGTACTTTGACCATATTTGCCCTCCTTTGCCCTCTCTGTTTACCCCCTCCACTCCCACTAGTAACCACCCCTGAACAGGACCTGTTTTATTTACTTCCTATTCTTTGTTTTTTAATTGTACATTAATTGTCCCAAGAGGTTTCATCATGGCATTTCACACATGCATATATTGTACTTAAATCAGATTAGCCCCTTCTATTACTCTCCATCTATCCTCCCTATTTTTCAATTTATCCTCCCTATCCCATTATTCAAAAGCTTTCAGTGCTTGATATCTTTCTGTGTATGATATCTTCATACACAGATACAATATATTTAGATGCCATTCCCTCTATCATTCTTTTTTCCTCCCCGCCTCCGCCATGTCCCTTAAACAGCCCCACTATTGCAAACATATTCTGTTTATGTATGTATATATGATAATGTATATATTCATGTATCCATTTATCATTTAGATCTAGCTTCTATACTTGAGACAAAATATTTGACCTTTGTCCTTCTGAACCTTACTTTGCTTAACATGATGTTCTCCAGTTCCATCCATTTATCTGCAAACAATGTAGTATCATTATTCCTTATGGCTAAACAATACTCCATTGTGTCTATATATCACATTTTCTTGATCCATTCATCAGTTGTAGGGCACCTGGGCTGATAACCATGGGTGTGCAAGTGTCTCTATTGTATCCTGACTTACATTCCTTTGGATATTATGTCCGGGAGTGGTATTGCTGGATGGTGTGGTAGTTCTATTTTTAGTTTTTTAGGAACCTCTATACTGCTTTCTATAATGGTTGCACTTAAATGAAATTCCCACCAGCAGTGTATAAGGACTCCTTGTCCCATGCTTCCCATCCTCACCAGCATTTGTTGTTTGTGTTTTTGATTGCAGACATGCCCCATCAAGGGCATGAATTTAGTCTTTTTTTTAAAGTATTTTCATAGGAAAAACCAGATTTTTTTTTCATTTATTCATATGTGCATACAATGTTTGGGCCATTTCTCCCTCCACCCCTTCACTTCCAGGCAGAAACTGTTTTGCCCTTATCTCTAATTTTGTTGAAGAGAAAGTATAAACAATAATAAGAAAGACAAAGGGTTTTTGCTAGTTGAGATAAGGAGAGCTATACAGAGAGATTCCTAGCATTGCTTCCATGTACAAGTGTGTTACATTCTAAGTTGATTCTTCTTGAACTGACCTTTTCTATAGTTCCTGATCCCCTTCTATTGGCCTCTGTCGCTTTAAAGTTTCTGCATTAGTTGCTTTGCATTGAGGACATCAAATACTATTATGAAAAAACCAGATTTCTAGAGCTGTTCCAATGTTGTGATGTGCTTTAGTGGCATGCATGGCAGGACTCTGGGAATCTGCTGGTGCTCCGAAGCTTCCAGGTTTCCATCCCCTGTCTCACTCCCCCAGGTCCCACCTGCCAGATGAACTGCTTGAACTCATATCCTTGTTTTCCCCCCAAGGTCTCAGTGTAATTTGAAGAACTCACATCAACAGTGCATTCAGCTAATTGGACTCACATTCTTGTCTCAGGTCGGATTCTGGGGCAAGTCACCCAAGATGAAGACCCTGCTTTCGGTATTTTTAAAATAAAGTGTGTAAAAACTTCCACACTTTTCCTTCCCGAGGCCCCGCCCTTTATTCGCGGCTCCGCCTTCTCCGTGAAGCCACGCCCCTTGCGCGTGTCCTCCTTCCCCCTCCCCTCAAAGAGAAGAGAGTCACTTCGTTGCTCTCCAACTCCTACAGCGGGTCAGAAACCCTTGCCTTGCTGTTCGTAAGCTCCTCCTAGGACATGGCCGCACCCGTTGCACATAGAATCCATAAAAACGTATGTGGCCATCTTTATTCCCTGCCTGGGCTTCCGGAGACAAAGTTCAGCTTCGGGGGGTCGGGCGCTGCTGTATTTGTCACAGGAGACTAGGGCGTCTGAGATGCTAAGAGCGGTGGCGACGTCTATGTTTAGGGACCCGGGGGCTTTTCACTGTCTGAAGATGGACGTATCACCTGGTCCATGACAGGATTCCGACATTCATTGTACGGAACGGTGTTGAAGATGGCGGCTCCCATGACGCGATCCAGTGGGCGCGGCCATCGTACCTCCGGTTGACTCTGAAAGCCCAGAATCCTGTTCGCCAAAAGGTTACCGGGTGGAGGCCGTCAGCCTCAGAGTCGCGAATGCGTCTGCGTGCGGGACGCTCTGGCTAGGGAGCGATTGTGCTGCGGTGAGGCGGCGTGATAAGGTTTCTGGTTAAGCGCGCAGATCCGGGGTAAACGGGAATGGTCCTGTGTAGAATGCTGACCTGGAACTACGGTGGCCCAACTGGGTCAGTTATGGGTACCTATAAGGGTCAATGCCGAGGGGACCGAGGAGTTAAGTATATAGGCGTTTCAGCTCCCGGGGTGGTGGGCCGAGGTCTGTAGGAGTCAGTGGCAGGGGCTCTGTGTAACGGAATGGGAATTGATAAACGAGCATTGTGTGAAATATCTTGATTGGCAGGGGGTGTGTGATGGTCATGGTGATGGGTTTGGGGCCAAGTATGGGTCTTCCAATGCGAAGAGCATTGGGGTTTAGTGATCGAAAGCATGAAAGGATCAGTGATTGAAGATACTTTGTTCTGTGGCCAATAATAGTGTGGTTACTGAAATTGATAATTGTGGAAAATATGGGGTTCAGTGATAAGAGGTTCTACAGGGATCCATGTTTGGAGAAATGCTTTGAACCATCAATGATTGAAACTTCCTTTACGTCATCGGTGAGGGGGTCTGTTAATGACTGAACTTTTGTAGACAGGGAATGGGACTAGAGGGATCATTGGGGGCCAGTGACTGGGACTGTCACTTGTGGGGAGGGGTGACACTGTGTGTGTGTGTGGGGGGGTCAGTCATTGGGCTATCACTGGAGATCTTAATTAGGAATGTATAAGTTGCTTTTTGACAATAAGATTGTATCTGCGAAGTTTGTAGTGTCTGGCCAGAATCATCCACGGTCAGATTTGAATTATATGGGGACACCAGTGACTGAAGAACCTCTGGATGTCAGAGACTGGGGACAATGTGTTGCTGTGATTAGGAGGCTCACGGGGGTGGACGCTGAGGAGATCTGTGAAATTCAGAGGCTGAGTAGGGAAGAGTCAAGGATTTGAGGTGATGACCATGCATACCAGAAACACATTTAACCCACTTGACATGCCCCAGCTGGGTAGACAGTTCCAATTTTGTACCATTTTGCCAGGACGCACCTCAAAACTCTTTTGAAATTCCCCTCCTTTTTTTGGAGCTCTCAACAATAATGTAAATGTTTTGAAAGGATCAGTACTAAATTTATATATAGTAACATGTTATCAAAGATATGGCTTCATTTGCTCTTGTTAGAAATCTAATGCATCTATGTTCTTTAGGGTTCTTTCTGGCAAAGATAATGACATGCCCATCTGTGACAGCATCCTAAGAGTGAGCCTGGTGTCTTACTTTGTGGCAAACAAGATGTTTGGGACCTTGCTTGTGACTAAAAAACGAAGAGTTTACTGAGTAAGTATCTAAGCTGATAATGTAAGATTTGACTGAGTTTGAAAGTTTTTTTTTTATCTAGGCTCGACTTCAAAATAAATTACCAAAGGAAAAGAAACTAGATCTGGAATTTACTGTGTTCTAAGAGTTATTAAGCCTTGTTTTGTATTTTTAGGCATGGCAAGTTTGACCTCCATGAAAGAGTTCATTATCAGTCCTAGTAAAACAGTTCAATAAAGATGAAAACACCACAATAACCACAAAAACAAAACTGAAAGCTATTTCTCAAAACTAGTTTTTACTAAAATTAAATTGACTCATAACCATTAATCTTGTCTCAGACAAGATTACAAATGAGATGGAAATAATATTTTAACTCTTAACCAATGGAAGGGTACATTGCTGAAACATTTAACTTGTTTTAAAAATTATTGTATTCAATACTTTTGTAATCTTAGGCAAAGCACAATAATTGTAACATTTTAAGAAACAGAGGAAGGGACTAGAGGTTTGGCTTAAGTGGTAGGGCGCCTGCCTAGCAAGTGTGAGTCCCTGAGTTCAAGCCCCAGTAGTGAAAAACAAAAACAAAAAAAGAAAAAGAAACAAAGGAAGCTAAAAACTGAGTCAGATAACATCTTTCAGAATCCATACAGGTCAGGGCTGGCAGAGTGGCTCAAGAGGTAGAGCACCTGCCTAGCTCTACCTCTACCTCACTGAGTGTAAGATCCTGAGTTCAAACCCCAGGGCCACCAAAAAAATAAATACTCAGAATCCATACAGGTCAAATTCTAATTTTAAGATCAGGTAGTCCCCTATTTTTTCTTTGTTGGTCTAGGCAGGTGCTCTACCACTTGAGCCACTTGGCCAGCCCTTTTTTGTGATGGGTATTTTATTTGTTTATTTATTTATTTTCCCAAGCTAAACTGTAACCAGCTTTATTTAAGATATTTTTCATAAAAAATCATGGTATTTCAGGCAGGGCATGGGCACACAATCTTTAAAAGTATACGACAACTTTCAAACTCCCTTCTTGGATGGATCATCAAAATCAGAAAGCCACTATAAAACCCAATGACGTCTTCATTTGAAGCTCTGAAAAGGAAAGTTTAGAGTGAGAGCTGACATTTCACATTAAACATGTTTTTTAACAACTTTTGAAGAGCCATCCCTGACTTTCAGGAAATGAAACGAAAATGGCAGAATTATCAGTCTGAAGATCCACAATCTAGAAAAGATCCATTGTTCTTTGGGGAACACCATTTCAGTGATGTCACTGCAAAGTCCCGATTGCCTGACATACTGGCAAAACAAATTTTGGTGGGTTAGGTCCCAATAGGCCTGTGGTTTTAAGGGAGTAAAGTCTATATGCTGATGATGGAGAGGGAGGAGGACATAAAAATGAATTTGAGTTTTCCCACATCACAAGGCATTTGTGTCAAGGTGACTGACTGTATGTGACAATGCCAGGGATTCCCTCTTGAGAGCCAAGAGGAAGTCTCAAAACTGGCAGGGAAAGATGTTTTCCCCTGCATTGATCCAGCTTTGGAGACATTCGATTAGTGACACGTGCTCCTTCTCCCCAAAACAATGAAGTGGTTTTTTTATAGCTATAAAAAAAAAGTAAAACAAAATTCTACATTTTTATAAAACTTTATAAAAATAGTATTTCAAACTGTACAGTCACCAGAAGTACAGTTGTCAAAAATGCACACATTCATTTGGTATTTCCAGCACCTTTGGCTTTCTGTGCCTGGCATCTTTTGGGCATCTCCACTTTCTGCAGGGGTACTTCCATCCTTTTCAGCATCAGTTTTTCCCCCTTTTCCCTTTAGGTATCTTCTTTCCCTTCTTTGCAGGGGCCTTTTTAGGCATGGGGTCTGTCTTTGGAGGAGCAGGTTTAGCAGACAACTTTACCATCTTATCTTTTGGTGTTATCTCCTTTAGCATCGCCTTCAGGCCTTCAGGCTTTTCGTAGGCACGGTAGGTGCTGAACACAAGGATGCAGTTGCAAGTGGCTTTGGTAAATCTGGGTGTTGTTCTCGCCTCCTCTTCACACTGCTTCTGTGATGGGTATTTTTGAGATAGGGTCACAAGAACTGTTTGCCTGGGGCTGGCTTTGAGCCATGACTCCTGAGTAGCTAGGATTACAGGCTTGAGCCACTGGTGCCGGGCCCCTCATAGTGCCTATTTTTTTATTTGCGCAAAGACAGGTAATTGTTTTATAAGCTGAAGTTATAAGCCAGAGTGAGGAGTTCATTTTCTTTTTCTCCAAGCCAGTCTCCTTCATCACCTATACTGTGTCAGTGCCAGAGTTGGGAGCAAATACTTTTTCTTTTCTAAACTGTTTACAGAAACCTTTTTTGAGCTTTAAGAGACATGCAAAAATATATATAAGAATTCACCTTGATGAGTTGTTACACAAGGAGCACCTGTAGGTTATGCACACAGATCAGAAAACACCATTGTACCACCCTGAAAGCCCCCATGATGCTCCCTTGCAGTCACCCTTCCAAGGGAAGCCATTCTTCCAACTTGTGACATCACAATTAGTTTTTCCTGTTTCTGAATTCGAACTGAATGGAACATTCATGAGAATGCTGTGGGTAGGCTGGGATAGAGGCAAGATGTGGCTCTGTTGGAACAATATTTTAAAGTTTCAATTCAGAGTATTTAATTGTATTTATAAAATATATTTTTCCAGATCACTAAATATTCTTTAAAAAACCCAGAAATATAATACACATATAGTCAAGTATGGCTGTCTTTGTGGTACTGGGGATGGAACCCAGGGCTTTGTGCATGCTATGCAAGTAGTCTACCACTTAGCTACATCCCCAGCTTTTACAATTTTTTTAAACAGGGCCTTGTTATGTAGCCCAAGATGACCTGGAACTCGGATCCTCCTGCCTTAGCTTCTTGAGATTACAGACTACTCAAGAGTACACCTTCATACATTTGTGTATTACAGAGTCACATGACAACAACCTCAATCAAGACATAGATGTCATCAAGATGACTTTCAATTACATCATTTCTAGTAACTGGAAAGCTTCTTTATCAGTCAGTACTCACCCCACCTCTGCAGGACATGGGTCTAACACAATAGATGGGAAGCCTCTTCTCTGTAGTTTGGAGGGGGGTATCAGAGTACCTTAGTCAAAATCTCTCATCCTTTAAGGACTAGCCATCAGTTGTAGAAACCTGGATGATCCAGCATGAAAAAGAGCTTCTGAACTGGGCTCATGCCTATAATCCTAGTTATCTGAGAGGTGGAGAGCAGGACGATCACAGTTCAAGGCCAGCCTAGGCAAAACACTTCTCTGAGACCCCATCTCAACATAAAAAGATGGGGATGGTGGTGTAAGCCTGTCATTACAGCTACAGCAGAAAACCAATAAAGGGGTCTTTGTCTAGGCTGGCCCAGACAGAGAGACCTTACCTCTTGAAGCATGGCTCAAGTGGTAGAGCACCTGCTTAGCAAGGGCAAAGCTCTGAGTTCAAACCCTAGTACCGCCAAAGAGAAAGAGAGACACAGGGAGTGAGAGAAAGAGAGCAAAAAAGAGCCTCTAAAGGGCCTAAGGAGCAAGAGAAGACTAAGAAAAGAACTGTCAGAAATGTTGTGAAATGTTGTCAAAACTACATGAAATGATCCATATGTAGACAAGGGTTCATTCTGAGGCAGTGAACCATACTGTTATGTGGTTCACTGCTGGGGATCACACCCAGACCTCACATACCCTAGACAGGGGCTCTGCTGCCGACCTATATCCTTAGCCCTGTACAATTTTGAAATCAAGATGGAAATGGTCAGATGAAATAATGAGTATATCAAACTGTGGATGATTTTCTGTGGTTTTTATTTTCTGTCTTGATGAAACATTCAATTAAAGAAGTTAGAAAAGGCAGTCATGTTGTTGGACTTGGGTCATACACTAAGGGAGAGAACGTATGGGAGGAATGGGGATAGGTAGGAAACCCAAAACATGAAAGTGTTTGATGTCCCCACTGCACAGGAGCTAATACAGAAACCTTAAAGCGACAGAGGTCAATATGGGAAGGTGATTGGGAAGTAGTGAAGAGGTCAGGTAGAGATGAATCAATTCAGGTTGTAATACACTTGTGCATGGAAGCAATGCTAGGAATCTCTCTGTATAGCTATCCTTATCTCAACTAGCAAAAATGCTGTCTTTCTTATTATTGCTTATGTCTACTCTTCAACAAAATTGGAGAAAAGGGCAGAACAGTTTCTGCCTGGAAGTGAGGGGGGTCGGGGAGAGAGGGAGGGGTCAGGGGGGAGAAATGACCCAAACAATGTATACACATATGAAAAAATAAAAAAAAGAAGTTAGAATATATATGTACATGAGACGTGAACAGCATCAATAAATATAAAAGTAGTTAGCTAAAAAGGGAAAACTGATAAATCTTATTTTTTTTAAATCAGTAATAAAGATAAGCCATTAGCAAACCTTACCAAGTCAGGAGGAAATTAATGTATGTATTGGGAATGCAAAAAGGAGAAATATCATATCGTCAAACAGTATTTTTAGCCAGGTATGGTGGCTTATGCCTATAGTCCCAGCTACTCAGAAGACTAAGGCAAGAGGATCCCTTCAGACCAGGGAGGCCAGCCTAGGCAACATAGTAAGACCCCCCACCATCTCAGGAAAACAAAATAAGTTTGGGCACTGGTGGCTCACACTTGTAATCCTAGCTACTCAGGAGGCAGAGATCAGGAGGATCATGGTTTGAAGCCATCCTGGGCAAATAGTTCTTGAGACCCTATCAGAAATATACCCAGTGCAAAAAAGGGCTGGTGGAGTGGCTTAAGTGGTAGAGTGCCTGCCTAGCAAGCCTTGAGGCCCTGAGTTCAAACATCAGTGCCATCAAAAACAAACAAACCCCACAATGTTCCTATAAAATTTTGCATTAATATATTTCAAAGCTGGCAAGCAAAAGATGATTTTGTAGGAATATATGGATATATAAAACATCCTTAACGAGAGAAAGAAAACTAAAAG